GATTCGTCCCAAACTATCTTGACCTCGCCAGCGTTCCGGCCCGCCGAAAGTTGAGCGCGACGACCGCTGCTGCATCTGGACACGTTGCCACGGCCACGCCACCCTCCGCCCCCCGCCCTCAGCCCTCAGCCCTCAGCCCTCAGCCCTCAGCCCTCAGCCCTCAGCCCTCAGCCCTCAGCCCTCAGCCCTCAGCCCCCAGCCCCCAGCCCTCAGCCCTCCGTTCAGCGTCAGACCTCCGCCAGCCGCTGGAAGCGTAGCGCCTTGGCGCCACCAATGGCCGCGTTGGACCACGCCTAAGGCCAGAAGCCAGAAGCGTGCGGTCCTCGCCACGCTGGCTCGTCGCCGGCCGCCGGCCGCCACGGCTACGTCGACAGAGCCGGCCGTCGCCGAGGACATCCCAATGGGCGTGTTGGCAGGGTCGGAGGACGCGGACGACGACTCGATGCCGGAGGGCGTCGTCATCCGCTGCTACATGGTGCAGCCGCGCTCCCTGCAGGAGTGCGTGATCGTGTACCAGAGCCCGGCCAGCCGCGACGTCCGGCCCACCGGACGCCATGAGCAGCCAGAATGGCGAGAGCCTCGGTGAGCCGTGAGCCGGCTCCGGCCGCTGGTCCGGCACTGGGCGCGACTGGGAGCTGCGCATGCGACCTGACGCGCACGGTCTGCTCTGTTGACTGGTGTATATGTACGTGTCTGTGAGTGTGGCCTGTGGACTGACGTGTCCTGAGGTGTCTGCTAGACCACCTGGGTGTGCTCTGTGTCCTGCAGTTTCTGATACATCACCTAAGATTGGTGTGCCCTGCTGAGTGTCTGACGGACCCCCGTCTGTCGAATCTGTTCTGCAGAGTGTATGATAGACCACCGATGTCTTATGTATCCCACAGAGTGTCTGATGGACCACCCACGTGTCTGATCTGTTCTTCTGTATGTCTGATGGACTCCCGTCTACCTGATGTATTCTGCAGAGTGTCTGACCCTCGCCTTTCTGATGTGTTCTGTAGAGTGTCTGACGGACTACCCGTGTGTCTGATGTGTTCTGCAGAGTGTGTGACGGACCCCCGTGTGTTCTGCAGAGTGTGTGACGGACCCCCGTGTGTTCTGCAGAGTGTGTGACGGACCCCCGTGTGTTCTGCAGAGTGTGTGACGGACCCCCGTGTGTTCTGCAGAGTGTGTGACGGACCCCCGTGTGTTATGCAGAGTGTCTGACAGACCACCTGTCGGATCTGACGCTCAACACGACGGTGATGTCGGGAGGAGACGCCGGCGGCCAGGCCGAGTCGCCGGCGCCCGAACCGGCCTTCCCAGACCAGCAGCAGCAACAGCAGCAACAGCAGCAACAACAGCAACAGCAACAGCAGCAACAGCAGCAGCAACAGCAGCAGCAACCCATCAGTCTGATGACGCCCGAGGAGTTCACCTCCCCCGGCAAGGTGAGAACCCGCTCCGGCTGCCCCGGTCAGATCACTATCTCAGTTTTAGAATTTCCGAACAATCAGCAGACCTGAATTGAAGCGCTGTGTAAAACAACGTATCATTCCAAACTTCCGCGTGCTCAATTAAAATGAACCACTCAATGCATATGTCAGAGTTGTCAGTTACAAAATTGCACCGGCCAGCACATGACACAAATTTCCAAGCTTTACTTCTTTAAACAAATGATTCGCTTAAGAACTTCCAGCGGGCGTGGTCAGACGAGGTGAGGATGAGCGACGTTACCGGGCCAGGTGTCCGCCGCCGGCTGGACACGGCTTCAATGCGGCCTAGAGCGGCCGCGGACGCGTGGTCCATCTCAGCTGCCAGATCGGACGGGTGGGCGGTGGGTCGTGGGTTCCCTAGCGGCGATGACCGTTTTTAGGTATTGTTAGGGGAGGCACTCAGGCTTGAGCTTTCCACTTTTACCCCAATCTACTCGTCACATCACGCACTGCCTCATGCTCATGATGGAAAATGATAAAAAAACAAACTACCAACGAACGCGTGAAACTGCTTCTTCCACAACTCGCCGTAACATCTCACATCTCTAGAGTATCAAGAACAGCTACATCAGCAGGGCGCTCTGCTCACCTTCTCAGACGCCCGTACGCTCTTAAATCGGAGTTATGTGATGCGGGGCAGAGCCAACCACTGGCGCTGTGAGTCTATCCTCCACTCATCCAATCCGGGCTCCATGGGGAGCGTAATGACCGACAGGCGGCGCCACTGCCGCCGCTGGTCCCGTACCGGGATACACGCCAAGAGGCCTCACTGGCCCTGATTCCGCTCTGTAACGCGTCGTCTCAAATTAACTGATCTCAGTGGAGAAACGGCGGCCGACAGTTTCGGCCCATGTTAAAGCATTCCCTCGTTCCATTTTTTTGTTTGTCATGGCAACATGACGCCTATGAAATTATTCCATTGGTGTGACCAAACCTGAGCAATGTATTGACAAGTCACTCCGTTGGCGAACAGATAATTCGGCATATTGACAGTACGCTAGATATATTGGACCTACTGGGCTTTTGCAGGTCTCACAAACCTTTTTGTCATCCATGCTCATCAACTCCTGGCCTTTCCTCAAAAGCTTCTGACGACTGGAGCAGCTCTGGTGGTCGGAGGTGCTGAGGCTCTCGGGGCTGAGGGGTGTGTGCGGAGGTGCTGAGGCTCTCGGGGCTGAGGGGTGGTGCGGAGGTGTGAGGCTCTCGGGCTGGGGGTGTGTGCGGAGGGGCTGAGGCTCCGGGGCGAGGGGTGTGTAATGAGGTGCTTGAGCTCTCCGGGCGAGGGTGTGTGTGCAAGAGGTGCTGAGGCTCTCGGGGCTGAGGGGTGTGTGCGGAGGTGCGGGTGCTGAGGGTGTGTGCGAAGTGCTTTAGGCCTCTGGGGCTGAGGGATGTGTGCGGGAGTGCTGAGGCTCTCGGGGCTGAGGGGTGTGTGCTGAGGGGCCGAGGCTCTCGGGCTGAGGGGTGTGTGCGGAGGGGCTGAGGCTCTCGGGGCTGAGGGTGTGTGCGGAGGTGCTGAGGCTTTTGGGGCTGAGGGGTGTGTGCGGAGGGGCTGAGGCTCTCGGGCTGAGGAGTGTGTGCGGAGGTGCTGAGGCTCTTGGGGCTGAGGGGTGTGTGCGGAGGGGCTGAGGCTCTCGGGGCTGAGGGTGTGTGGGAGGTGCTGAGGCTCTCGGGGCTGAGGGGTGTGTGCGGAGGTGCTGAGGCTTTCGGGGCTGAGGGGTGTGTGCGGAGGCCGGGCTACTGACTGAGGGGTGCGTGCGGAGGCCGGGTTACTAGCTGAGGGGTGTGTGCGGAAGTCGGGCTACTGGCTGAGGGGTGTGTGCGGAAGTCGGGCTACTGACTGAGGGTGCGTATGGAGGCCGGGCTGCTGACTGCGGGGTGTGTGTGGAGGCCGGGCTGCTGACTGAGGTATGTGTGTGTGTGTGGAGGTCGGGCTACTGACTGAGGGGTGTGTGTGGAGGCCGGGCTACTGACTGAGGGGTGTGTGTGCAGGCCGGGCTGACGTCTGGGGGGCGTGCGGGGGTCGGCGCGGTGACCACCGGCCGCCTGTTGCAGACTGGCCCGGACGTGGTGGCCGGTGTGCCGCTGCCAGACGCTTCGCCCACCGAGTTCCTGCTGGAGTCTGTGCCGCTGCCGCCACCGCCGGTCAGTGTCCGCTCGCTGCCGCACGTCCCTACCTTCATGCCACAGGGCACAGGGCATTTGACTCAGTTCAGGACGCTGAGGGCCAGTTAAGCCGGGTGTTTGCGCTGTCAGATGCCTTTTTTCACATAAAGTAAACCCAGCTGACCACCAATTGACAAACGTCAAATGACAGCCGGTCATCTGGTGACCAAAGGCGAATGACAGAATGGCAGGCCCGGAGAGACCGCTGGCGGGCGTTTGAGAGATTTGTGCCGCGCCGCTCCCTCATCCTCGCAGCCGCGCCGCGCATTTCTGACTGTTCTCGAGCGTCTGACGTCACGCCGCACTCAGTGTGACGTCTTGCTCCGCGTTCGGCTGTCGTCCTCGGAGAGTGATTGCATATCGGCCTCGGTGCGTTTCGTATCAGTTCGCCCGTGTCGTGGATCAGCTGCTAGTGTTGAGGCCGCTGTGGCCGGACGTGTGGTGCCGTGCCCTCTGCCTGCCGTTCGGCGCGGCCCCTCGGGCGGCGAGCGCGGCCGCCCGTCTCGTGGTCCACGAGCGGCCGCCGCTCCACTGGCGGTCAGCGGTGCGGAGCTGCGCTCGGGTCGAACCGGGCCGGCCGGCGGCCACCTGAGTTTACGACCTCAAAGCTGATCGTGCTGATCGCTCGTGCTGCCGCCAGGTGCTGCCGCCGCCCGACAAGAAGCGAGAGAACAGCTGCGGCAGCTCGCCCTCCATCGAGGTGCAGGAGATCCTCAACAAAAGCGGCTCGATGGAAGGTGAGACGGCCTCACCAGAGAGGCGCTGCAGTAACGCAGTCCACGGCAGCAGTTTGTGGAACGCTGTCGCCGTTCTTCTTAGCGCGGTCACCGCCGTGTGATGACAGCAGCGTGAGCCGGCACGATAACCGCGACTCTCGAGAGACGCCCCGTCCCCCGTCCCCGCGAACATCACGTGTCTTCAGGCGTTAGTCTCGTGGCAATCACACAGCGCAGCACCCGCCTGCATTGGAGCTCACACCAGCAGCGTTAGCCGCGAGTGCCTGCTGCGAGCTGCCGACGAGTCAGGCAGCCATGTGGCGCTGCTGGCCGGGCTTCCGTGGCAGGGGCGGTCCGGTGCCTTCGCTGACCGTGTCGCGCCGCTGTCGCCAGAGTCTGCCCCCGCCGAGAAGGCGCCGCCACCCAAGTCGTTGTTTCCGTCGCCGCCGCCGCCGCCGGAGCCGGCGAAGGCTGCCGCGGCGCCTGTAGCGTCCGCCGCTGCCACCGCCGCTGCCACTGTCGCGCCGACTGTCTCGTCCCCGGCCGCCGCCGCCGCCGCCGCCGCCGCTGCCGCTGCCGCTGCCGCTGCTGCTGCCGCCACCGGCGTCGGTCAGAACGGCTGGCCGACCGTGCCGGCTGTGTCGGAGGTACCGGTGCAGCCGGCGGCGGCGGCGGCAGCGCCCGTCTCCGCCAGGTTAGCCCTTAGCGCCGAGTGCGGGTGTGGCGAGACAGCGAAGTGGACTGAGGTTATGCTCCTACGAGGCCGGTCTGCAGCTGGGCTCGGCAGCAGGGTGGCGGGCCGAACACGCGGGCTCTGTACGGCGTGGCGCTCTCTTTCGACGTTTGGCCGATCCATGTGCCTTACCCTAATGTGATGGGCTCGTCACTTATATACCAGAATGGCCGCCTTCTTACCGGACGACGGCCGCCTGTGCGTTTGCTTGACCGGGCATCAGACCGTCCCAGCGGCCGTCAAACCTGTGCGTTTATGTTTCCTTCGGCGATCGTGGAGGACGCGCCGCTCCCGCACAGCCTCGGACGCCGCGCCCGGCGTCGGTCCGGTCTCTGACACGGTGCCGGCGCCTGCCCCACAGCGGCCCGCTGGGCGGCGGCGACGAGAAGCGGGACGCGTGCTCGGGCGCCGTGCTCAGCACCGTCTCGGCTGTGCTCGGCACGGTGCGCGAGCTGAGCGCCGAGGTGCAGCAGCTGCGCGCGCAGGTGCAGCTGCTGCAACACCGGCACAAGCCGCCGGCGCAGACCTCGCCGACGGACGTCAGCCGCCTGCTCGAGACGGCTCTCACTGCCCACCAGAGGTCAGCCGCGGCGCCTCTGTCGGCGTGCTGGGTGGGCGGCTGGGTGTGGGTGCTGTGACATGGGCGTGGACCCTGGGAGCTGGGTGTGGACGCTAGGAGCTGGCTGTGGATCCTTTGACCTGCGAGCAGAGGGAGGGGGCCTAACGAGCAGGTCGGTTGTAGAACTGCGACGTCCAGAATGTCCTCGGGAGTGGATGTCCTGCGGCATCCACGTGTTTGTGGGTGCGTGTACACTTCGCGATTAGCAGGCGAAAACAAACAGCTAGAAATGCCAGAACTAGAACATGGGGCAAGATGTCAAAGTGAGTTATCGAGTCGTCCAGGAATTGCTTGTTAATGACCGGAACTCAGCAAATCAAAGAAGGACGCGTAGTTGTGTGTTTTGTACGTGTGGGGCAATTCATTGGAGGGCTGTGTGCCTAGGGGTCCCTTGTGTCGGATAGGGAGACATTGGGTCTAATGCTATGTGCACAACTTCCCAGTTGATTGCTGTCGCGGTGCGTCCGTGTTGACTCAGGCGCGGGAGGTCGGCATTCGTTTGGCCGGCGCGCTGATAAAGAGCCTAGCTGTGCAAGGGCACCATGCGAGTCACGCGACCGGCTGTCGTAGCTCAGCTGCGTCACGAGCGCAGTCTGAAGGGTAAAGGCGACATTCCACGGCGGCTCACGACCCGCCTGTGTTTTGCTCCACTGGCGGCGTGGCTTGTTTGTCCGGAGGTTTGACGGCGGCAGCCGGCCGCAGTCGTAGGATGGAGGCGGTCCGCCCGGCTCGCCCGGCGTCTGACGGCGCCGCCGCTGCCGCAGGCACATCGAGGAGCTGCTGGCGGCACGCGACCGTGAGGACCGCCAGCGCCTGGAGCGCCAGGTCACGGCCATGACCCAGTGTGTCACCGGCGCCATCAAGCAGAAGGTCGACTCGGCCGTGCGGCAGGAGTTCAAGGAGCACGTGGTGCCACGTACGTGCCTTCCGGCGCCGCGCCGCTCGGCGGCGACCGAAATTAGGTCACTGCTGTGGGGGAGACACCCACTCTCCACATCCACGGCCTAGCATGTTCGAGAGGCACTCAGCCCACCTTGCCAGGCATATTGGATGTTTCATTGACTTCTAAGATTATTTGGAGAAGCGCTGGACAAGGCCAAACGTGCAAGGCAGTCGACATTCCCGCGTTTTCAGCGGCTTTATGAATATTTTTGGACGCTATGTGATGGTATAGTAATGGGCTCTCCAAGACCTCCCCAACTTTGGGCTGAGGTACGGATGTACAGAGTGGACTACTGGGGCACGTGCCGCTGTGGGGAGAGGCGTGCCCACATCGATTAATTACATGCATAAATGTACCCGAGTTTAAATGCTACCATTAAATAATTTCGTGGTAAACACGTAAACTCAATAGGTAAATACCTCACCACGTTGTTCTGCGGCATATAGCAAGGTTCGCGCCTGCAGAGCTCTTAACTAGATTTTCGAAGAAAAGCCTCGAGTTGTCCGCCATCCTCTGCCCCCACCCCACCCTATCGCGAAATTCCGCTCCCCCCCCCCCCCGTAACGTTTCATGTAGGGAGTCGCCCATTACCGTGATGTACTACTTAGGCGCACACGAACTATTGTGTTGATTGAGAGAACCATAATGCACTGCTTAGGCGCACACAAGCTATTGTATTGATTGAGAGAACCATAGTGTACTGCTTAGGCGCACGCAAGCTATTGTATTGATTGAGGGAACAGTATGATACCCAAGGTCTGGACCTGTTACTTTGGCATAGATGCACGGGATATCTGGGTGCATAACGGTCGTCTATGTTTGTTGCAAGAGTTGTGCGTGGGACTATCAGTGAATGCACCAGTGGCTGAGGTCGAGCGCGATTTCAAGCAGACATTACCGGCCGTCTTCACGCTTGTCCGATCAAAATCTATTTCATGCCGTTAAAGTGATAATTTTAGATGTGTGCGACGTTCATTTCTTTGATTACACTCTGTTGAATTTGGTTCTGATGTCACGCATGTGTGTTAGTCCTTGACTGCAGTAATTCTCTTGCGAGCATGCGCAGCGGTCGGGTGTTAGAAAAGCGAACGACATTCGTAAATTCTGCGCTACCGGTCACCGGGGAGACATCATTCTTTGCGAGCCTCTCGATTATCGAGTAGCTCCCATGAGGTGGTGGTGCACCTGTCGCCGCGAAGTAGCGCTTCAGAGTCCAAACCGGCCCCGTCGTGTGCCACCTGTTGGCCGGACCAGGCGTTCACCCCTCCGGCCACCGTTACTGGGGCTCGCGGGTGCGTGGTGGTCTGGCAGCGCTGCCGGCCGTCTGTGGCGGGCGGGGCGGTGGTGTGACCGGACTGCTAATGCCCGGGTAAACAGCCGCCCGGCTGATGATCGGCGGCTCGTGCCGGCCGCCGCCGCCGCCGCCGCCGCCGCAGTGGCCGCCCGGGGCGGCCGTGCGCGCTAATGAGCGGGCGCCAGGACACACGCCAGTCGGATGGACGCGCCCAGCGCCATAGGGTGCCGGCCGGGAGAGGGTAGGCCGAGGGGCTTGCTGAGTCGACTTATGGCGCCGCACCACGACGTGGGGGCTACGCTCGGCACACAGGCCTCAGCCCGGCGGCTGACTCGGAGTGTTCTTCTCGAACTCGTCATTTTTCCACTTTGTGCTCTCTCAGTTTTTACGTGATCTTGGAGCCGTGCGCATTAACTATATAGAACGCAGCATGTTGTCAATCTTGGCGGCAAGATGAGTAAGGAATTGAACAAGCTCAACAGATGATGTTCGTTTTGTGTTCACATCTCCCCAACTGATATTTTGGGACTAGTATTTGGCTGACCGACTGTTACCCTCAACTCATACACTGGTTTCTAGATATCATATGGTGCTACTGCCTCCGAGGTTTGAAGCGATGATGAAGGATCATCGAATGCATATATTGCATAACAAGCACTAGCTTTCCTTGTCTCTGTGCCGTCTCACCGCTGTCTCCGGCCGCAGTGGTAACGAGCCGCCTGAAGCCGCTCGAGGGCCAGATCCGGCACGAGATGAGCGCCAGGATCGGTGACGTCGAGGCTGCTGTCAAGGAGTCCATCACCAAAACCGTCGGCGTCAAGGTAGGGCCCGGCGCGGCCGGCTGCCGCTCTTGCCGCCCGCTCTGGATAAACACTCGAGGAGCTGTCGTCTGCGTGGGGGGATGAGACGCCTCACTCCGCTTGGTGTAGTTTGGCTGGCTTTACGTATTTCACGCACCCATCCGCGTTCCTTCCCGTCTTGTCTCTCTCTCTGTTTTGTCTGCAGTTTTTATTTTTCATGCATCGGAACGTCGAATTGGGATGTCACCTCTGAACCCTTTTTGGACTCACTTCACAGACTTCCTCATTTTGAAGCGTTGATTCCCTCCGTGGTACCCTTCATGAACCAAATTATATGCGTCCATGCGCCACGTGTACATTGTCCAAATACAGTCCGTGCGTGTGCGTGCGTTTGTGGGCACACCCACACACGCACGCACGCACGCACGCACGCACGCACGCACGCACGCACGCACGTATATGTATGGTTATATGTATATATATATATATATATATATATATATATATATATACATAGATATGTTTAGATGAATGCATATGTGTGTATACACATAAACAACGGCACCAAAGTAGTGGAGGAATTACACTCAAAAGGACAAGTAACAGCACAAAACGGGGAACAGCACTCTCCTGGCAGAAGACAAACGGCGCTCCGTGTTCCGACCGCAGGCAGGTTCGTCGCGTCACTGTCGCCATCGCCTTACATTTGCTGTCTCCGATCTCGCTGTAAAGGTAGATTCATGGCGCCTTTAGATTGCTTGTCCGGCTCTAGTTATCGTACTCTTAGATTATCACGGGCAGTCAGCGGGGGGGGGGGATGATCAGCATGGCTAACAGCTTGATGATCAGCATGGCTAACAGCTTGACGGTCAACGTAATGGACACCTATGTCGTGGGTGAAAGGCCAGGTGGAGCGGACCAACTGATGTTGCTCAGATTCCTACCATTTTGATGCACTGCTGCATTACGCTCTTGCTACTTCCTTGCGCACGTTCTTATTTTGCGAACCACCGGCAGCTATTTGACCTATTATTGACGTAAGCAATCTCAGTGAACTGCCACGGGGCTGGCCAGATTGCCAGGGCGCCAAACTGTCCCCGTAAGTCTGAATTGCCCGACTGGATGGCACTGGGACGGTGCCCACCGACTGCCGGTCGGTGGCCGGTGGCTCCAGCGCTTCGACACACATCGCGAGCGAGCTGGCTGGTGCGGGCCGTGTGTTCCTGGTGCGCTGGTGCCGGTCCGGAGCCGAGCCGTCGGCGTCTCGGTACCTCGGGGAGTGGCCTGCCGGTGTGACCTGCCCCGCCACTGCCGTCCGTCCCGAAACGATGTTAAGAGCACAGTCTGGCCGGGCCTCTCCGGCGGCCGACCACGCTACGCGAGGCGCCGTCATAGCTCTGTGGGCGACGCGCCTCCGGACACGGTCTGACGGCGCCCGCCGAGCCGTCCGCCTTGTGTGTGTGTGTGTCCGCGCCGCTCTCTGTGTCGGCGGCGCTCTATGTGTGTTGACACCGCTCTCTGTCGGCGCTGCTCTCTGTGTGTCGGCGCTGCGTTTTCTGTGTGTTCGTAACGCTCTCTGTCCCGGCGCCGCTCTGTGTGTCGGTGCCACTCTGTGTGTCGGTGCCACCCTGTGTGTCGGCGCTGCTGTCTCTGTGTGTTGGTGACACTCTCTCTGTGTGTTTGTGACTCTCTCTGTGTTGGTGACGCCCTATGTGCCGGCGCCGCTCTGTGTGCCGGCGCCGCTTTCTTTGTGTCGGCGCCGCTCTCTCTGTGTGTTGGTGACGCTCTCTCTGTGTTGGTGACGTTCTCTGTGTGTCGGCACCGCTGTGTGTGTGTGTGTGTGTGTGTGTGTGTGTGTGTGTGTGTGTGTGTGTGTGTGTGTGCGTGCGTGCGTGCGTGCGTGCGTGCGTGCGTGTGCGTGTGCGTGTGCGTGTGTGTGCGCGCGCGTGTGTTGGTGACGCTCTCTGTGTGCCGGCGCCTCTCTGTGTCGGTGCTGCTCTCTGTGTGTCGGCACCGCTCTGTGTGCGTGTTGGTGACGCTCTCTGTGTGCCGGCACCGCCTTCTTTGTGTGTTGGTGACGCTCTCTGTGTGCCGGCGCTGCTCTCTCTGTGTCGACGCTGCTCCCTGTGTCAGCGCCGCTCTGTGCATCGGTGGCGCTCTCTGTGTGTCGGCGCTACTCTCTGTGTCGGCGCCGCTCTCTGTGCGTTGGTGACGCTCTCTGTGTGCCGGCGCCGCTCTGTGTGTCGGTGACGCTCTCTGTGTGTTGGTGACGCTCTATGTATCGGCGCCGCTCCGTGTCGGCCGAGCGCCGGCCACGTTGTGCCGACGCTGGCGCGTGGGCTGGGCGGATGTCCGGGCTCACTGTACCGCGAGCCGACCATTGTGGCGGCAGACGTGTTGTGTGTGTCTCGTGCGGCAGCCGGTGGGTGTCAGCCGCTGTCGGGTGCGGCCAGCGACTGACACCGACCGGCTGAGGCAGCTTCTGACAGTCGGTCTGTGGGGTCCTAACCCGCCGATGGAAACAACGGTGATGTGAGGCTGGCAGAGATCTATGAATATGGAACAAAACGAAGGGATCAAATGAAGCATTGGGATGTCGTTATAGATACGCAATGACTATGGATGCAAGCACGATGTGCCGACTTCAAGGGAACGAATGGTGCAAATGAGACGCTTAAAATGAGACAGGCTGACGAGCTGTACGGCGGTAAAGGGGCACGGGCGAAAGGGGAAAAATGCAGAAAAGGGAACACGGTACGTGGCATATGACAGTTTTCTTATTCCGGGGTGAAAAGTGCCAAGGCCAGAAAGCATCAAGTTAGATGCGACTATGACAAAGTGGTAGCCTGCCAGGTCCGTTTTAGAGAACGATAATGCATATCAAGCTTACAGTAAAGCATCAGTGTATGACAATAGGTGCATATGGTATTGGTATCCGAGGTTCCACTCAATTCATGACATTAAATTGAATTCTTCCAGTCCATTCATGACATCCGTTTACGATTAAAAGCATTGCATGAAACGAGTTATGGTGGATAAGGCAGTAGGAGTGGTAATAGCGTTATTCCATGAAGGAAAACCGGAAGAATGGGGAGATAAATGCGTTAGTATTTCGGCAACATGCCTTTACGGGGACGAATAACAATACATATGCAATAATAAAAATAATAACATGTTCGTAGCATTTCGAAACATATTCGTTTCGAGAGGCATACTGGTAAAATATCAACGCATCTGTATCTTCATTCACTTGGTTTTTCTAACGAGGAATAAGGCTGTTAATGCGGTTTGATCTATATGCATGATGCTCCTATGAAATGCAATTGATAATTGATGAATTTTCGTTTACATTTTAATTGTGTGCAGTTTTATAGCCATGCGTTTATGGATAATCGTGTGTATTTTTAGTGGCGATCGCACCATAATTCGGACTGTATCCGCAACTTGGAATGTGTAGCACATGATGTGTGAGATAAACCGCTCACCAAGTCACTGGCTGGATGCACCAAACTCAGGGCTTTCCCTCACACTGTATTGGTATCACGTAACTCGCCCTCAGGCGTGCTGTATTTACGCGTGGTCGTTTGACTACGAAGAAAACAATACGAGCGCAGCTTTATCATGGGATTGAAACGGCTTAAATTGAAACAACACCAAGCTTTACGTCTTTCAACCCGTTTATGTTTATTGAAACCGGTCCAGGCAGCTTAAAAGGGAGAAGTGGTACAAACTATTTGCGATTGGCTAATGTTCCGTCGCCTATACTCGGACGCATGGTCACCTCGAAGGCATCGCCAATTGACGCATTTGACGCATTGCTTATTGTTGATTGGACGTAGAGTTGCTTCACCACTGGTGAGGTTGATTACTGAGTGGCTGCTGCGGCGGACATTTTTTTCAGCCGTCGTCGCGGTGTGACTGGTGCGCTGCGCCGCCGCTGTGCCTGTCGGTCGCCATTGCCGCGGCTGACGTCTGCCACGGTCTTCGTGCTGCCCCGAACGTGACGGCTGCGGGCCCCAGCCAAACCACTGTGGGACGCGTCTCACCGGGTGCCGACGCCGCCGGCTTATCGCCAGCCGTGTGTATGTATGTCTGCGAGCCCACGCCGGCCCGCCGCTGACGAACACCTCTGTGGGCAGGCGGTGAGCGAGGCGGTGGCGCACGCGCTGACCCAGAGCCTGCAGCAGGCCATGGTGGCGCGTTACCGCGAGGTGTTCAGCGGCACCGCGCTGCCCGCCTTCGAGCGCTCCACGCGCGAGCTGCTCCACCAGATCAACAACACATTCTCGGCTGGCACCAAAGAGTGTACGTACCGACCGCCGGCGGCTGGGCGCCGCTGCCGGTGCCCGACTGAGACTCAGCCGTGACTCGGACTCCGGCGTGACCAGGATGTGGACGTGACTCAGACTTCAGCGTGATTCGGGCTCCGGCGTGACTCGGACTCCAGCGTGACTCAGACTCGAAGTGACTCGGGACTCAGCTGTGAGGCGTGCACGGCCCGCGCTGCGGGTGGGTCATGTACTCGGATTCATTCCCTTTCGAGCTTATATTCGGATCCGTCGGTCATGTCATTCGGCGGGTCATGTCCTGTGACTGAAGCGGCCGACCGCACACGTGTCAAAAGCCTCCGAATTTGTGAAGAAGGCTGCTTGATTTGACCAGCGCCGTGACTCGGCTGTTTCTGGGCGCCTCGGCATGTTCCTAGCCTGAAGTCATGCCAAGTACGCACCGTTGCCCGCCACCGCCCTGCCTGTCACGCATGCCGCGGTGCTGGTCGTTGTCTGGCGCGGTATCTCGATTTACGACAACTGTTCAAAGACTCATCTCTACCGCATCCAAAAATGTGTTCAGTGCTGCGCCAGAACTGATAGCGGTGGAAAGAAGAAGCACATACCCGTTGTCATAGCTGGAACTGGCTGCGCGCAGGGTGGCGCGTCATATCTGCTGCCCAATGACAGAAGGGCTTAAGGACCACCAGGTAAATTGTTCCGGAGCATTGTTATGCCTCGGCGAATTGAAGGCGGTTATGTGATTAGAACAAAATTTTGGATTTTTAATTTTTCAAACTCTTGACTACATACAAGATGCGGTACTTCGAGCTGCATCGAATGCTGTAAACAAACCCGTTTCAATAACCCCATTTCCGAACAAAAGCGATAGGTCTCTTTGCCATTAGACGGCAGATGTCACCGGGTCATCTGCGCGCAAGGCAGCTCGTCCTATATCACTGCGTCACTCGCGGTCATCCTGTGTTCTCTGTAACGTTCCGAAACAGATGGCGGCGAGTCTGCCACAATCGGAGCTTTTTCCCCATCAGCCGCGCGCGTTCACGTGCCCAGGGGTGCACAGAGCACTACCCAACCCTCAGCACCACCCTACGCGGAGCACCACCGCTTTCACCCACGTATTCAGTGGAGGACCGGCGGCGCCGTGCTTTGGCGGCGCGGGCCACCAGGTCCAGTGAGGTGAAACGCCGCAAACAGACGAAGAGACAGAGTGATGTCCGTTGGACGTCCCTATAAGTGACATTGTCGATCGCTGCCTGTGACTTTCGTGCTGGGGCCGCACGCGATGTGCATTATAGATCGTCGTGATGTATTTATTGCGCCGCGTTGTCTTTTAATGGTGGCTGGTTTAATGGCTTAGGTTAAACTAATGGCGTATGTGAGTGGTGCATGTGCTACAGGGCTAATTGTTTACTGTAGTGGACGTACTTTGCAGAAAAGCCACATGGTTTGGCCTGCAATAACGCTTGAGCAGTAGCGGGAACAAACAGGCAGGGGCGTCATTATCCCATAGTTTGGACAGTGGTGGTGGCGGGGTTATTGTTCGCGCAAGCCGCGCCCAGCGAGGCCCCTTCCCAACAGACGGACGCCTGGCTCCAGGTGGAATGTGAGTCAATTCGGTAGTCGACCTCATTTTCGTGAATTCGGGATTAAATCAATTCTGTTGGTCGCCCATTCTGAATCGGAGTTGGAGTTGAGTCAAACCAGTCATCGGAAGGTCCACCCAGATGGAAATGTAGGTAACAACATATGTAAATGTATGCCAGCGCATGTAATTGTACCGACCAAATGGAACACATTGTTAGCCGTCCTGCTATCAAGAGAAGTGTATGCGAACTTTTACGACCCTTAGAACGGCTTATCTCATGAATCGCTGTCGCACGAATCGACTCCGTCGGAACCGATTTCAGCATTAAGTCATTAAACCTGGTGTCGGAAGGGGTCGACACCAGTTACGCTGCGCTGCGTCAAGTCGAAAGCAGCCCAGCGCATTGTGAGTTGCGGTACGGAATGATGCCGCCGAAGAAAAGTCAGGCCAAGTCCGTTTTCCAACGCGCTCGAACAAGCTTGCATTGCGGTGGCAGCATCCATGCGGCCGCGTGAAGAAATGGCCTCTGTAGTTTGCATGCTACCGCTGACCGATGAGCGCGACGTGCTCGCGCCGCTTTCACCGCCAGCTCCGGACGGCACGTCAAAGCCGCGCCAGCACGCGGAGACTGACGCTGTGTGGCGGGACGGCGCGTTACGCCGGACGCGTCACGCCAGCGTCACGCAGGGCGCGGTGTCGCGCACGCTTTGTTCAGCGTGACACGTCCAGCCGATGGCTTCTGACGCTGTGCTCGACGGGGCATTTTCACACCATTTACTATTTTGCAGTGATATGGGGCTTCCTCGGGGTGGTTTTGTGCAGACGCCGGTCACTCTTTGTCAGGTTTGAAGGGCGCCGTCTTACAACAGACTGAAATCGACACTAGGCTGCGACCCGTCGTCGTTTGTCGTCGGTTTCCGTTTAGATTTCAGCGAGTCGAAACAACGAAAATTTGCTAGACACCGTTCTGAGACGTATGACACATCAAGTCTGTGTAAATCTGCTAGGCCACGCTTTCACTTTTGCAGGGAACACACCCGCGTAGAGACGTGTGACCGTCTTAAGATTTGCAGCAGTAGCTGGAGCCGCGAAGCGATCCTGTGGCCAAGTGTGCGTGCCTCTTGTTTGTACTTTGTAAGAGGGGCAGGGCAGGCTTGTTACAGGACTGAGGCTGCTCTGAAGCCTGCAGCTGGTCGTATGACGACCTGCGACCAGGTCTGGCGCTAAGCGGGCTTGACGCCGTTGGCAGACCTGCAGCAGATGGAGTCCCAGGGTGAGCGGCTGCGGCGGCAGCGGGAGCCGCTGCTCCAGCACCTGCAGACGACGGTGGAGGCCGTCCGCCTCTCGGTCGACCACGTGGGCAACACGGTCAAGGAGCACCACCAGCGTCAGGAGAAGAGCAAGTAGGTGCCGCGCGACAGCCTCCGTTTGCCGTGTTTTCATCAGTGTGTCTCTGGGTGAGACAGATGAAAGTAGGGGATGCTGTTTAGGTGCAGAGTGTTGATACTTTTACGCAAGCGTCGTAATACCGTCATGTGTTCTTGCCTGAAAAGAATTTGACGTGGAATCTTATTCAGGTGTCGACGTTTTACGACGGGTCTTTTTCCGTTGCCAGGCAATTTGCCAAGGAAAACACTATTGCATTGTCTTCATGCGAAACCTGCTCGCGGCAGTTACTCAAATGAACCTCGGTCTAAAAAGACAATGAAGCTGTGGCTGGCAGTCTGTTCATGACTCATAATTCTATGTTTTGCTTTCACCTCGTCCAAAGTCATTTTTGCCTGATGTTACCCCTTCCCAAAAACGACTTGAACGCGGCTGGGTACACAGTTTCCTGCTTCCAGTGCGGAATGAGCTCATAAGCAGTGCAGCCACCCAGGTTTTGGGACGTAGGCGGGCGGAAGCAATTGGCTTTTTCAGATGCATGTCAAATGTTGTTCACGTATCGGAAGTGATTTCTGGTGTAGCTTGCTGGCACAGCAAAGCACCACACACGGTTTGTGCTCCGTCTCAAGTATCCGGAGCCAGCCATCTGACCGGCTCCATTTCTGACGTACCCCAAAATACCGATAACCGTTTACCAGGCGCTGAAGCGCTTTGTGAGGCCTGCTACGGCACTGGACATCGGCTGGGCGGATCCGATGGGTTGGGGCCAAGTTCTGACCCCGCCCACGCATGGTGCGTCACACCCAGTAGCTGCAGAGGCTGGTGGGCAAAAGGTGGTCTGGCCGGATAGCAAAATCCAGCCCGAGCCCATCTGGTTTGCCTTATTTCAAGCTAATATTAAAGTCACCGTCACAGGAGAAGCGGGCAATACTTGGGGCTTCTACTCTTCATGTATCTCAAACTGTACACATGTTCTCTTGATCCGCATCCCTGTTTGATGTAGGCATGATACTTATACTGTGGTGTTGTACGTGAACGTCTGGGTAATGTTAGCAATGCCTTAAAGCAAATGCTTCCTGATGATACTAGCAATGTATTTTTAAACAAGCCCCTCACAAAACCAGTAGCTAAAGCTTTAGCTCTAGGTAGAATTAATCTGCCTCAGGCAACTTATCCTTGCTAGGACTGTGAGGTGAACAACAGTTATTGTCTATTAGTCCAAGGTGGGGCAGCGCTGGCATCATTCTGGTCCCGTCTGTGCAGGCTTGGCCTCAGGGGGCAGGCCGGGGGGAGGGGGGGGGGGGGGCTGCGGACGCCGCGGCCACGTGGCCAAGCAGTGTCCCAGTGCCCGCCGGGCAGAGCAGAGCAGACAGACGCTGCACGTTTTGGTCTGAACTGGAACTGATTTTCAAATGACGAAGGTGGCATCAATCACTGCAGGCCAGCAACACCAGGTCCAGGTTAGCTGCCATGTCCGACCATTTCGCTGAGCCCATCGACCCGGCGTTCCGTCCCGTTTGACGTGCAACTACTGGATTCAAAAGACATGCAGGTCCTCAGACCGCGCCGTATGCGAGGAAAGCCGCTGAATGGGTTCGTGATGATGATGGTTTTAACTTATAGGAAGTGTTGCCATTGCACATATTTCAAAAGCGCACGCTAACCTGAGGACCAGTTGGGCTAATATTCAGATAGCACTGGGTGGTGCTGCTGCATCACCAGTAAGACATAATAAAGATATCAATTGTAGTTATTTCTAGTTCAAATTACGCTGCCAACGCTTTGTAACAGCACTACGTTGTACCCCTGTAGTGGCGACAGCCGTCGGCATGACGACGCTAAAATCTACGTGTGGGGGGGGGGTCTGTCTTGGCTGTTACTAAATGACTTCAGTACAAACGAACGTTTGTGATTAGCACAGCGGGTGGCAAGGATCAGTTACCGAGAAGCGCATTGGTTGAAGTGCGTGTGTGGGTGTGCGTCGACCAGTGCGTCACTTAAGACCATGTGATACCTCGTTTCCCAAAGCCAACCTGCGCTTCGAACAGAGGCACTGTATTGAACGCCATGAGGTATTACTTTCATTGTGATCAGCGGGGAGTCTGGTGAGAGTTCTCCCACAGAAGCGGCTGTTTCAGATCGAAAGTCTGAGGTATTCAGAAGGATTTCTAGAAAACTGGCCTTTCTGATCGAATCATACGCGTCTGACAGACGCATTATGAATAAAGTGATAACTAGCAGCGTCTCGTATGGCGTGAAACGAGCGGGTCGATAACAGTTGTGAGAGCCGTCAGTTGTGATGTTGATTATGCCAAGAGCTAAACTGCTGAATTTAGACGCATCCGGACACTGTTGCGAACGCTTTTCGTAAGGTGTTGAAAATGACATTTTATGACAATTAAGCAGGTGGAGATCCACTGATGCAGCGATGGTTGTGCGTCAATCGATAGATAATATGTTGGACAACTGTTGACGCTTAGTCATGTCACGCTGGGTAATTTTAGTCAACATCGACGTATTGCGAGTATCTACGGCATTTGCGAACGTGTGACACGGTGTGTATCTCAAAATGCGGATGTTTTCGGGTGCATTGTGGGCCACAGCAAAGAGAGCTACACGTCGGTATAGTTCGGGTGGTTCAATATTTCTCGAGTCAGTGCTCAGCGTCTTGATTCGAGATCAGTTTTGGGAAATACTGCGCTGGCCTCCCGGTCCTGTGCTGTAGACCTGTGGGTGGCACAGTCTGGAGACGTGCCAGCCGAACACAGTCGGCCCATTCACGTGCGCAGTACCGTGGGTGTCACGTCGCCTTCCGCTCTAGCTGCTGAAATTTGGCAAAGGTGCTTAAAAACGCCCAAAACAGTGGATCTCTGGCGCGCGCATGGGAGCCTACGACGGTTTGTACACATTGGTTTACACTTATCTATGTGATGGTTCCTTTCTCTTCCGTCAAGATATAACAGTATCTTGTCGCTGCAGTACCGGGTGACCGAGATCGGGACTCAGTTTCGACCCGTGGTCATCAACAATTGGCTAATTTGACGTTGTTCATGGAGAAGCGACCCAGCAATGACATTGCAATGCTACAGGAAAAATTAACGCGATCATACAGCTGGCATGCAGATTCCTGGTAATTTATGCACCACAGCTTCCAAGGAATCGATATTTTATGCCGTTAAGCGCATAGACCTGCAATTATTTGTTGCAAAGTTATTGGCCTTCGTCGGGCGTAACCGCCTGACCGGGCTGTGCGAGTTAAAGGTCCTATAGTTCAAGCAAGACTCATTTGGCCCTCGCAGCCGCGCCCGTGAAAAAAACCGTCCACAAACTTGCCAACAGCTTTCAAGGCATAAGTTCATTCTATTGCGAAATCAGTAAGGTGTGTTGGGGATCATTGACTAACATCCGAAGCGCAAACAACTTGAATTCCCATTGATGAAGCCGCGCATTCAAGGTGCACGTTATTTTATTACCCTTCCGTATGCGTATTGAAATAATCGTTGCGTACGTCTGCCAACCTGCCTTGAGAGCGCCTGCAAGCGCCTTGAGTGCCGCCTCGCCTCGTGAACGTGTCTGCAGTTTCTGACTTGAAACGGTACTGCAGATTCAACGGAACGGTGCTCACACGGTCAGGTGTGCTAAGCACGTTGAGGTTTTATTTAAAGTGCCGGAACGGGTGCATTGTGCTCGGACGGTGTCCTTGAACTGTGATCGACGTGCCCGGCGATAGCCGGAATGTCGAGTCGAGGAAAACTCCTACGCGCCCTTGTTGAACGGCGCTCGTGGGCAGTGCCGCCGGTGATGTCATCACCGTCTGCCATCGAGGCATGACACAGCTGGCGCGATAGTATGTCACCAGGATGTCTGTGACGTCATCGTCCTCTGTGTCGCCACTGATAGCCTTTGTGACGTCACCGGCGTCCCTTTGCCATGTGCGGCGTTACTGTGACCCGCCGTTCCTGCGCCGTCGCCGGCGTCCTCTGATGTCGCCGTCTCAAGCAGGGCTACCAGGGACTCTTCTCAGTCATCGACATCCCACATGATGTCCTGACATTCCTCTGACGTCGCAAATGTCACGCTTACGTCTGACGTCGCCAGAGTCCGTCTGACACGTCACGGCCGGTTCCGCAGGCAGGACGAGACGGCATTCCTGGCGCAGGTGCGTGACGAGATCCGGCGCAGCGTCGCCGCCTGCCTGGAGGAGCACAGCGCGCGCGTGGCCACGCCCGTGACGTCGGCCGGCGCCGCCGTCAGCGGGCAGCCGCTGCCCCAGCAGATCGTCCAGCTGATGACGTTCAAACAGTACAACGCCGCCTTCCAGCTGGTGAGGGGGTGACAGACGGCGCGTCAGAGCAGGGAGAGGGGGAGCGGGCTCAGCCGCCGATGTTTAGCGCCCGTGGCCCGTGGCTTGCGCGCTCTGTGCTGTCTGAGCGCCTCCAGCCGGTTGCGTTCAGTCGGAGGGGGAGGAGGGGGGGGGGGGGGGGAGGGGGCGTCTGTCCGCCTGCTGGTGTAATCTGGAGTGCATTCCCAGAGTCCCAAAGCACGGGCTGTTCGGACTCCCTGCCGCAGCTGGCTTCCTGACCGTTGTCTGGAATGTTTTGTACGTTGTGCGCTCCTGCCGGAGCCTCGGTGTGCTCAGTAGTGACCTGCGTGGAGCTTCTGGTTTCTCGGACTCCTGGCTGTCATTTTGCCAAATGTGCCGACGACGTGAGATCATGTTTCATCAGGGGTGTGCCTTCCGCCGGTTAGCTATGGCGACACTTATGCTGAGTATCACGCTAAGTTTCGGTGAATTTACGTAATTTAATTGTAATCAGCGTTTTACGTACCTCCGTTGGGCTGCCTTTGAACACGTCTCATATGTCGTGTGTGCATATTTTTGGGTTAGCGCTTCCGTACAGTAGGGCGATCCTGGTCGTTGAAGCTCTGGTACATTTACCTGACCTTTGATTTGCCATTTTATATAAATGGTCCTGGAAGAGTATTTTTGCGGTTCCTTTCGTGATAACTTCTCGTTTTTTCTATGTAATAAGCGGGCAGATTGTTGACCTTCACATGGGCCCAATGGGGGGGAGGGGGGGGGGGGTGATTACCGTATAGCGCACCCTTTGAATCTGACGGAGGAGCGTCTGAACAACGGGGGGGGGGGGGATCCGAGCAGCGGGAGGGGCATCCGAGCAGCCCACGGCCCATGCTTCAGCGTTGCCTGGCTAGCTGCTCTGCAGTTGACATGCGGGCTTACTTTTGCGGACAACTTCACTTCAACTTCAAAAATCGCTGCCTAGGGTGATTGTTGGCCTTTCATGCCCATGTTTCAGACCATGCCATGTTCAGTTAGGGTAGATGTGGTTGAACTCGGGTACACCATTTGCAGTGGTGGTGTTATGGAGACGGCTGCGGTGTGGCGAACATGACGGCCACTCTATGTGAGCCCAGACCCGGTGTTCACGCTTGATGGCCCCTCGCCAGACACCGGGCGACGAGGTGTTGGCGTTCGGCTGGAGCCCAGCCCGCTGTGCGTATCGGGCTGAGCGGCCGATCGCTCGGTGGATGGCTGCCGTCGGTGCCCGGGACTGGGTCTGGCGAGTGGTGCTGGATAGGTTAGCACCACCGGGAGCGGATGAGCGGCTAGACAGATAGCGGCTGTGACAGCCGAACACAAGGGCGCGGCTGAAAGGCAAAGCAGGGTTGGGTGTTAATGCTTTTCCTGTGAGAGTCTCAAAGGGCCTCACGGACCATAGACCACAAGTCTTAAGTTTCGGATTCTTGTAATAAGAGCATTGAAGCTCGTTGACCTTATGAGGGCCAGTTTCATACATCCCCCGAACTGCATTGCCCCAGTGAGGCCAGCGGTCGCTGCAGTCGGTAGGCGTGGGAGGCGTGATCAAGGAATGGTATGCATCCTCGTAAGCCGGTTATCAGGATGAAAGAGACCGCTTGTATGAAGGCAGGACAACTAGTTGCTTTGAAGTGATTTTGCAGATGATGCAGGTTGATCGATTTAAGTGAAATCCAGAGGTAGGATCGACCCCGCGTAGTAAAAGTCGATCGCGCTATTTCAGTGCTTTCACATGAGACTGTATAAATTACATACACAGGTTTTTTTGTTTCTGCCCCTTTTTACGCGTTAACGTACGTGGAAAGCACTGTTCTTTCTCCTGTAATGCAAGGGTAAGCGTGATTTAACAAATAAATAAAAACTGATAGACCTTTATTTTCCCGAAATGCTCTGAGTGAAAAGATGAGTAAGCGTCCTCCGGCCACTTGACCGGTATCTGTCTGATTAGGCTAGACCTCGTCCGGTGGCCATTAGTTTTGTTAGAGCCCTGGGATTAAGCAGAGCGAGAGAGTTCAGTGGCGGGGCAACACTGTCGCCATCGCTCGAGGCCACCACCCTGAGTCACGCGCTCAGGCCTCGCTACCTCGGAGCGCGTACGGGTGCACGAGTGACGTTCCCCGTTTGTTTGCTCTCTGAAGTCCCCGGGCGGGCCTCCGGTTAGGCGGGGTGTTGCCAGGGCTCAGAGGATAAAGAGGTGAAAAAGGAGACATGGATGATGATAATCCGGATTTGCAACAGCGCTTCGGCTGCTGTAGCCATGTTGCGCGAAACCGGGATGCGTTCAGAATGTGTGCGTGATGCGTGAAGCCATGTTGAGAGGGTAGCATCTTGTGTTTACAGTGGCTTAATTCCATTAATTGTGTGCCAAGAACGCTGTTGCAGAAATCTTTGTTTTTCAAGCGTTCTTGGATAAAGCATGCACACTTCTTAACCCGCAGAACGATACATGGAGTGCATGCTGAGATCGGGGGGAGGGGTGACTAAGAATGTCGTTGGGGGACGTGCTTACCGGCGGAGTCATTTGCGGGAGAGGGGAAGTGGGCATAGTAAGGGAGCCGCTCAGGAGGAGGGGAGGGGGAGTGACATGCTGAAGGAGCCCTTTCAGGAGGGGAAGGGGAGCGCGCTAAGGGAGCTCGCTCCCGCGTGTATCCAAGTCCCGCGAACCGCAGCAATACCAATGAAGCGTGCGGCGCTGGTGTTTTGTCTGCGGCGCGAGATCATTAGTGCCTGTTGGGCAGATTGCTTTTGCGGCGATGCTATTGAGGGGCGTGGTGTGGTATAGGGTGCCTTCATTGCACCGGTCAGGCGGAAGCGTGACTGCATTGCGTTGTCCGTAACATTACTGTATCGATTTTCTGAAGCGCTCAGCACGTTTCAGCAGCGCGGCCGGAATGCCTCTTCGTTGTATTGGCTGATGGGACGCATTCCATAAGAGCCGTCGTTAGTATGCGTGTGAGAGAGTTGCGGCCGATGCAGTTCGGACACTCCGCGCTTTCGGCGTACACCACGCGCCGGCGGCTCCCGGACGGCCGGGCGGCCACCTGCACTGACCACGCGCTGCGAGGGGGGGGGGGGGGAGGGCGCAGTGGCACGCGCCCCGTCCTCGGCCGGCTGGCCGGACGCGGCCGAGCAGCCGCCGCCAGCCCGGCGGTCAGGAGCGGTGCTGCCCTGACCGGGCTGCGGCGCCCCCGCCGCCGCCGACCCGGCAGCTCCCGGGTCCCAGGAGTAGGCCTGTGGATCGCGACTGTGGAACTGATGGCATTCATCACGGGGACGGGAAGGGTCTCTCTTGGTGCCTGGTTATTTGGCCACTTTGTCGAAAATAGTGGTTGTCTTGTGAAAGTGCTGGCGCAGCTGTGTCGTTGCCACCTGGTGCGATCGTATCGGGATAATTTTGGAATTCTAGATTCATGCTCCGGTTGTGTCGAATGCTCCTTTGTGATCTTGCGCTCGCTCTGGGAATGAAACTCATCTGGCTGGCGGTCACTGCGCTGGGCTGGCCGGGCATCACGACCCCGGTCGTCTCAGCCGGTGTCGATGGCTCCCCGCGGCCGCCATCCGTCTCCGTTTGCCAAATCATCCGGGCTGATGACGGGATTCACACCATAAACGACTGGCGGCTCATCGATTGGCCATCTTCTCTGCGACGGCGGCGGCGGCGGCGACGGCGTGCCGTCACCGTCCGCGTGACTGTACGGCCCCAGTGCTGGGCCGGCCGGACGCCGTCACGAGCCGGCCGGGGCTGTGGTCGAGGCGGGTGGCGGTGACCGGGGCGCGGCTCGTGCTGAGCCCGCCGGCCAGTCGGCCGTTGCCAACAGAGGGTCGGACTGCGCGGCGCGCTGCCGCAGCGCCGGCTGGCTGGTGATGGTCGTTGGGCCGGTCGGCGCCGGGTAATTTGGCCAGCGGCGAGAAGCCTGCTGGTCGCAGTCGGCCCAGCAGTGCGGCCGGGTGACCGCACTGCTGGGCCGACGCCGGTGGCGGCGCAGCGCGGAAGCCGGGTCAAGTCTGCTTTCCGAAAGTCATGAAAGGACCCGACGACACGCACTGCGACCCGGCGTGATTCAATTTCAGCTGCGGAGCGGATGCACAGGCTGACTCCTCGTTGCGAGCGGGCTCCATTCGGACCCCATTGGAAGGGTTCGCATGCGTCGCCTGTGTAGATCAGGGCTCATTGAAATTGGATAATGCTGTGTCGTTCACGTCCTCCCAGAGCCGTCCTGAGAATGGCTGATACCGTCATTTCGTCGAAAACCAGTCTTGCACTGAACTGGGCGCGGCAGCGTACCTCCTTGGCAGCGATGTTATCACGCGCTGCGACCTGACTGTCCGTCCCTAGATCCTGTGCTGCCAGGACCATGTGGTTTTGTTGCGCCCGCAACGATGTCAGCGATAATGGGATACGTGTATGGTGTTACGTGACGGTTGTTACATTAGTAGATGGGTTGATACATGAGCTGTTGTGGTTGAACTTTTTGAACTTGAACTTGCTGCTTTTTATGATCGGGGCATTCTGCTTCTCGGAAGAAAAAGTAAATTGTAAAGTGTTTTTAACGAACCTATTTTTTGACTTGTTATGTGATTTGTTTGTGGGCCTATCCTAAAGTACGTATGGTAATAAATAACTTCCCACACCATTCCCCTCACAAACAGGTACAGTGATCGTGCAAACCAATGACAAACCATGGGTCACACAAGTACCTTTACGCGTGTGCATTTCTCTGGCCGTATTTATGTGACAGCGCTACTTTCCTTGCGAATAAGATCTCCAGCTCTGGGCGTTCTGTAACAGACAACGCTCCGCCGCCACGCAAAATTTTCAATCGTGGTTTTGCGGCCTCATACTGTGCGAGGAAACGAAGGCGCCTGGTTGATGAAGCCGCGCTCGCTGATTACAGCGAATCATCAGTATTTTTGCTCGCCACACAGGGTCTTAGCTTGAGTGCCGCGATTGGCGGCGATGGCCTACCAGGGCGCCGCGTGAAATCAGTGCAGCGTACAAAAACACTAACGATTCGCTGTAATCCGCAGTCGCAGCGAAGCGTCGAGATTGTCGCCTTCTTTTGCCCCATACGGGTGAGGCGGGAAAACCTCGAATGAGAGTTGGGCGTGCGCATCCTTGTTTTTGATGTGTTGACCAGCGTGTTTGTTTACTCTGTATGCACTCGAGAAAATGTGTTATCGCGCACTAAAATTAGCCACTTTTATTGGGCCGATATGTTTACAACCGGGACAAGAAGATATTTGTGGAATCAGAACTGGCCACCTTTGCAATAACCTCGTGCTTCCTCAGGGCATTCAGTCAGTTTTTGACGTGACAGCAGATATACTTCTTGCGTGGCGTTCCCGTCTGAGCGGTGGGTGCATATTTAGCTCGTCGCGTGCCCCTGTGCTAGTCGTGTACCCTGCTGTGTCGTCGCGCAACCCTCAGCTATGCGCTGCCGGGGGTACGCTGAGACGGTGCATACTCCAGCGACACGTGAGCAGAGCTGGCGGTGTCGCGCCCGGTGGTCACGTGACGTGGACGCCCCTGACGCGTGCGGACGTGTACCGTGACCCCGCAGGCGCTGTCAGCGTCCGACCTGGAGCTGGTGATGATGACCTGCGAGCTGGTGGAGCCGCAGCAGCTGTTTGCTGAGTCGCCGCCCTGTCCGCTGACGCAACCCGTGCTGCTGGCGCTGGTGCAGCAGCTGTCGGCCGACCTCGGCAAGAAGACCGACCTCAAGTGCAGGTAACCCCTCGGCCGCCGTCCCGTTCGCCCTAGTGGCTCCGCAGGCTCCGGCTATGCGTCCAGTGTCGGACCTGGCCGCGGCGCTCGAGCCGCTGCGCTAGTCGTCAAACGACCACGTGTCAGGTTTCGCTGCGAACGTTGCTAAGTCGGAGAGCTGAGGAGACCGCGGGGGCGACTGGAGGCGGCCGCGCTGCCGTGTCCTGCGCGAGCGCGACGGCGGCGGGAGCGGGCCTGACCTGTGTCCGCCTGCGCCGGCAGGTACCTGGAGGAGGCCGTGATGCAGATCGAGTCAAACCACCCGTCTACCAGGGAGCACCTGCGGCCGGTGCTGACCGCGCTGCAGACCCAGCTGCAGGCCTTCATCGGCCAGAGCGGCGCGCCGCCGCAGCTGGTGCGCAGCATGCGCATGCTGCTCATGGCTGTGCGCTCGCTGGCGGGGTAGCGAGGCGGCCCTGTGCCGCCGCCGTCGGCTGAGGCTGTGAGGGAGGGCCGCCGCCGCCGCCGCCGCCGCCGTGCGCCGCCCGCCCTGTCGCGTCTCGCTCGCTTGCTGGCTCGCTCGCGTCCGGGCCCGTGGCGGTCCAGATGCGTCAGGGTCCGAGGGGCGGCGCGCACCGCCTGGACGGCGCTGCTGCGGCGCGTGGGAGGGCGAGGCGTGGTGAAGCGCGCGCGCGCCGTCTGCGGTGTCATGCTCAGATGGGGTCGCTGCGATTGCGGAGTCCCGTCGCCGGTGGGGCGTTTGTGGACCTCTGGCGGCGTTCGTAGTTCGGCTGCTCGGGTTCAGCAGGCGTCCGTGGTGCCGGCCGATGCGCTCTGCCGGACGTGCGTGCCTCCGCGCGGACGCGACGTGCGCTCGTCTCGTGCCGGCTGGTGCTCGCTGGTGCCGGCTGGTGCCAGCTGGTGCCGGCTTGTGACCATTGTCGGACGACCAACGGGTCAGGTACGTGGCATCGCGGCCAGGTACCGAGAGGGTCCTGCTCCTGTCTTCTAAACAAAGACGATGCGTCTTATACTCCATGCTTGCCTCACTATTAGATGGTTCAATTATGTTTCGGTGGCTCTACGGCGCAGACACCGCCGGGCGACTGCCCTGGCGGGGTCGGTCGGAAGCCGTTCGCTGGACTCTGCTGCTAGTTTTACGTACACCTCTGCTCCATTCGAGAAAAGGCGGGAATAAACGTCGAAAATTGCTGCTGCTCTCTATATTCTGGTACCGGGATTCGGTACATGATATGCTTTACGGCCCACCTAAGGCTTCCTTATGGGTGTACATCGTGCGGTGTGCCTCGTGGCTGGTGTCTGGGGATTCCAACGCCAAACCTTCTGTTCGGAGATGGATGCGGAGGTGCCGAGAAAGGAAACAGAGAAAGCTTAACTTTCGGATAGTGCGAGAGGGATACACGGGCTGCATCGGTACGCGTGCCCCACGCCCTCGATGGGCAACGGGATTGACTACACTGCGAACGCACACCCTCACCCGTTCGTGAGACAGCAGCGGGACATCTACAGCGGTGGAACTTCTTCAGAGCCATGGCAGAAGCATGTTATGTAGGACAATTATTGGTACCCTTCACAGATCTTTTCCCATGTTTACGTCCGGAAACATGAGGACGGGGGGGGGGGGCACTCGAGTCACTCCCAAAATTTGTCAGTTTCCACCCACGCACATCTAGCAACGCACGTAGCTTCGAAGCTGGGGCAGTACGACAGGTCCGTTTCGGTCGGTGCTGTCGCCGGCATAGCAGCGGTGTCCGCGGGCAGGCGCTCATCTGGCGCTGAGCCGACGGGAGTCGCCCAGCCACCGGCGCCAGCGGACCCCTTCCGTCCGGCGGCGGGCGCCGCAGAGCCGCCGGACGGGAGGGCTCGGCTGGCGCCGCAGCTGACGCCCCTGACAGTCGTACTGCGTCGGGCGCTGCAGAAAACTTTAAACGGTAACCGGAAAATAAGTTGGGTTATTGCAAAGGCTCGATAACGCGTTTTTCATCCGCACCGAGCTTCCCCATCCGCCACGTAAGAAAGTTAGCTAGTATGCAGCTGCTGTACGTGCGTTTCGTCCACTCTGTTCCGACGTTGGCGGCGTTCGGCGGCGCGCCATGCTGCTAGCGCGGCGCCGGATGTGAGCGGCCGGGTCGCCGAGCGCAGCGCGCCGGTCATATCCCACCGCTCCAGCAGGCGGCCGCCGGGACCCTGACCTTGGCACGCGCCCTGCTGTTTTTCCGGGCCGTGCGCAGTCATTTTTGCGGTGCGGGGTCGCCAGACCGAACGCAATCATTAGCGCTTGGCGGCGGGAGGGGGGCTCGGCTCCGTCCTCTATTGCCGCCGGCAGCGGCGAGCGTAGAGCGCGGGAGACCGGGACGGGGGGGGGGGGGGTGGCGTAGGGGCGCGGGCAGGGCGGATCGCACGCCGGCTCTGCCAGCCGCGACATGGCTTGCGGTGTAGACGGTGTAGAGCGCATCGCGGAGAACGCAAGATGACCCTCGCCGTGGACACGCAGCTGACGCAAGTAACCTGCCAGCGGAGTGCACTGCAATAACTGGTGTGCTCGTAGGCGGCAAAGAGTGTCAGGTGTGGTCAGGAGGTTAGGTCCGTGGTCTGACGCTGGATGTCTGTCGGAAGTCCGGTGAGTTCTGTGCTGACGACGGGCCGGTCCTGGGCTCATTGGTCGATCATTGAAGCCCGGCCTGCGGTATCACCCCATTACATGCCCAATATCATGATGCATCTCTCATGCGGCAAATAACGACTCACGTTACAAAGCCGTCGCTAGTAATACTACATTGAAAGCGATAGCCAATTTCTGAAATTGGCCATTGCCTTTGGCTCTGAGAGCCCGTGTTCGTGTCCTGCACGGCTCCCAGCAACGATCCACTCGATGACTGGTGAGAGCGATGTAGGCCGGGACTCACACTGAGCACCCCATCAGCTGTGACGCCACGGCAGGACAGAACGGCTCCGATACCACCTATGGCCTACAGGAGCAGGACGTTCCCCTGCATATATGCCACGAACGGGCCATTTATCAGCAGCAGCGCACCGGGGCACAGCGCCGCTTCCACCTGCCCGGCCGAGCAGCAGAACATGACGTACCGGGACACAACGCCGCTTCCATCTGCCCGGCGGAGCAGCAGAACACAGCGCACCGGGACGCAACGGCGCTGCCACCTGCCCGGCTGAGCAGCAGAACACGACGCACCGGGACACAACGCCGCTTCCATCTTTCCGGCCGAGCAGCAGAACACAGCGCACCGTGTTAGCTTGGCAACTACCCTCGGTTGCAGTGCCGAATCGTGCAAATACAAAATACAAAATACCACCAAACCGCGCCACACAAGCGCCTGCTCCCGGCGTGTAGAGCAGCAGCAGATCCTCTACACCCAGCGACCTCCTCACGTACGGTGGAGCAGCGGGGAGGCGCTGCACGTCCTCAGGTGGCGCGGTCGGCGCTAGCCACTGCTCACTGTGTCCTCTCACCCGCGCCCTCGCCGGACGGCCGCGTGATCTCCAGCGCTCAGCGCGAACTGCGACGGGAGAGCGGAACCGTCGAACGAAGTCGCCCATGTACCGCTGAAGCCACGGTCTGGCTCGAGCCTCATCCCAGGCAGCAGCTGCTCCCACAACTCCGGATCCCCCAACTGAGCCTTCAGGTCTGGTGAGGCCTGTCTTGCGCTGAAAGATTGGTCTTACGTCCCATTCCCCCCCCCCCCCCCAAAGACGTTTTAGGTGGGGATGGCCAGCATGTAGCGTGCTTTACGTCCCGGCCAGTGAAAAAGGCTCTGAGTGATTTTTCAAAGAACGAGCAGAGAGTTATGTTTGAGAATGATTAAGCCGGACAGGTGGAACCGGCGCTGTGTCCCGGTGCGCTGTGTTCTGCTGCTCGGCCGGGCAGGTGGAGGTGGCACTGTGTCCCGGAACGTCGTGTTCTGCTGCTCGGCCGGGCAGATGGAAGTGGTGTTCTCTCCCGTTGCGTCGTGTTCTGCTGCTCGGCCGGGCAGATGGAAGCGGCGTCGTGTACCGGTGCGTCGTGTTCTGCTGCTCGGCCGGGCAGGTGGAAGCGGCGTTGTGTCCCGGTGCGTCGTGTTCTGCTACTCGGCTGGGCAGGTGGAAACGGCGTTGTGTCCCGGTGCGCTGCTGCCGATAAATGGCCCGTTCGTGGCATATATGCAGAGGAACGTCCTGCTCCTGTAGGCAATAGGTGGTATCGGAACCGTTCTGTCCTGCCGTGGCGTCACAGCTGATGGGGTGCTCAGTGTGAGTCCCGGCCTACATTGCTCTCACCAGTCATCGCGTGGATCGTTGCTGGGAGCCGTGCAGGACACGAACACGGGCTCTCAGCGCCAAAGGCAATGGCCAATTTCCGAAATTAGCTATTGCTTTCAATGTAATGTTGCTAATAACGGATTTGTATCGTGTGTCGTTATATATCGCATGCCTCCGCCCGGCCTATTTTGTTGCCCGGATCCACTGCCTGAGTTGCCCCAGCTCTACCCGGATCACTGCCTGCGCTGCCTGAGCTCTACCCGGATCACTGCCTGCGCTGCCTGAGCTCCACCCGGATCACTGCCTGCGCCTCCCGAGCTCTATCCGGTTCACTGTCTGAGCTGTCTGAGCTCTACCCGGATCATTGCCTGAACGGTCTGAGCTATACCCGGTTCACTACCTGAGCTGTCTGAGCTCTACCCGATTCACTGCCTGAGCTGTCTGAGCTCTACCCGGTTCACTGCCTGAGCTGTCTGAGCTTTACCCGGATCACTTCTACGGCCGAAACCCACCTCATCAACCCAAGATTGAAAGCTTACCGAACGACGGGGTAACAGCTACCAGACTATAATCGCTGAAATATTGGCGAGAGGCTGACGAATACAACTTGCGTTTGTCAATGATCCATCCATGGCCCGCATGGCCTCGACGCGGCTGGGACAGCTGGGACAGGCGAGAGCGCAAGTTGTCCTACGCTAGCAATGTCGGCGCCTTCGCTGCCGGAATCGGTGTGACTGAGTGACGCCATGATCACCTGGCTGACGGACGTTTATTGATTTTTGTATTGAACGCCAAAAGACCAGCGGACAACAAGAGGGTTGTTTCTTGACCGTCGCCAGGGACATGGACAATGAACACATAACACATACCATTCCACATTAATGTAACATGAAACATGAAACATAGCATGAACATGACAACATAATACATTGCACATGGTCACGTGACTTGCGGCGTCTTGGCATCTAGCCAGCTTCAGCGAGGGACGGTGCCCAACCCATCATTGATCGCAACGCCACGCGGGACGCTTTATCAGAAACCGGACAGGCTTACCAGGCAGACACCGACTCCAGTCGCCGTGAACAGCCAATTCTGACAGTTCTGTACTGGACTGGGATCTGGCCAGACTTCAGGACCGGTGCTGCATACAGGCTGGTCTTCTCGCTGGTCCCGTCCACCCAGTCTGCCGGTCAGACAACGGGACCGGTACTATAGCCTGGTGTCCGCGCGAGACCTGCTGCTCGGTCGCCGGCCGGTCAGCAGGCCTGACCTGCTGCCGAGACCGCTACTAAAGCCTCGTCTCGGCACAGGAGCCGCTGCTTGGTTACTGGCCGGTCAGCGGACCTGACCTGCTGCCGAGATCGCTACTAGAGCCTGGTCTCGGCACGGGAGCCGCTGCTTGGGCGCCAGCCGGGCAGCGGACCTGACCTTGTGCCGAGACCGCTACCAGAGCCTGGTCTCGGCACGGGAGCCGCTGCTTGGTCACCGGCCGGTCAGCGGACCTGACCTGCTGCCGAGACCGCTACTAGAGCCTGGTTTCGGCACGGAAGCCGCTGATTGGTCGCCGGCCTGTCAGCGGACCTGACCTTCTGCCGAGACCGCTACTAGAGCCTGGTCTCGGCACGGGAGCCGCTGCTTGGGCGCCGGCCGGTCAGCAGGCGTCGTAGTCCCTTGCTGCTCGTCGTCGTCAGCGTCACCGGGTTGCTGCGGCTTTCCAATCTGGAACGAGCCGCGGATGGGTTTCAGCCCACTGCTGGGAGCGACGCCTGAGGCCATTAGTGTTACACAGAGCATGCGGCGGTGGTGAACACCATGTGTGGCGGTGTCTTTTATAACATTGACGGGAGCAGTGGAGGTGACGAGCGGAGGCTGGCGGCGGGGTGGCTGGCTTGTCGGTCCTCAGTCCACAGTGGGTGAAGACCAAGGCAACTTGCGCACTATGGCCCGTCCCCATGACCCAGTTGGTTACCGCGCCTGCCTTCCGATCCACCCACTCGTGGCGGGGTGGGTTCGGGTCGCTTTAGGCGCTCGCTATTTGCCCTCGACAGGTGTGGTCAGGTCAGGTGACGTCGGAGAGCGGGACGGACAGTGCCGAGCATAACGGTGCGTCAAACTTTCGCTACCAAATTCTGCCGTTAACCTGTAATTGCACATCGGATGGTAAGGACCAGGGCTCGCACAACAAAACGTGCTTAACGTGGGCTCTGATCCCGGAAACCCATGCATTCCATGGGGTCAGATTAAATGATTTTAAAAAAATGGCAGGAGGTGACACCTTCCACACGACTGCAACATTGAAAATTTTATTTTTACAATATCTATTTTGACACGCCACAATGAAGGTCACTCGTCGCCCAATTGCAAACGTTCATGAGCCGAATGACTCAGACGGGAGTTGTCAACCACGCAAGTACCGAACCACTTGGGCAGGTAAATACGTACATCTGTTCCACCAGCCATCTCTTAGCGGTTGTTTAACACGCGCCCGGATGCCGCCTAGATACCCTTCGCTCGGGTGGTGGGTCAATTTGAACCCCCTAAAATCTCGGGAACTAAGAAAGCTAGACACACCAAATTTACAGAATATGCTGACCTGTACGAGAACTCACTCAGGTCAAAGTTTCAGGTTCCTAGGTCATGACCTTCGGGTCAAAAAAGATAAAAAAGGTCAAGTTCCAGGCTGGTCTCCAAAGTGCCCCCAGAACCTAGGGGGCACTTTGGTCAGCAGGCGCCTAGCCGTTTCTAAGCAAAAGTTCATATTCCCATTCAAGGTCAGTGACCTTGTTTGACCTTTTGAAGCTCAAGGTGACCAAAATCAGACAAGATTGCTTTGAGTTTTGCATTTGACTAAGCGACAGAGATTACGCTAGGTAGTATGTTCCTAAAACAAAATGTTGACCCCATATCATTTTAGGTCAATAACTTATTCTGACCTTTAAGAAGTCAGTGGAAGATGTATATGCGGTTCCTGCTATCAATAAACTTGAAATGAGCTCCAGAAACTATCCCATACAGCAAGCCCTAGAGTAACAAAACAGGTTGGTTTTGACCTTTGTGTGACCTTCATACCTGACCTTAGGTTAATTCAGTTTGCTCATTCAACTGTTGCGTTGCCTAAGAAAGCATCTCAGAGATATATGGTTTCGTCTGACATTCTGTTGTTCGATCAGATTGAAGGATTCCCTAGAAATTGCCTTCGCTGAAGCCATGGTCTGACTTTGACCTGCCATAGGTTAGCGACCTTACAAGGTGCATCTAAATTGTTGATGCCAAACGATCCGCTATTTAACTGTCTACAGCTATGCAAAATTTATTGCGGCTACGCCGTACCGTTCGGAAACCATTCTGGAAAAACCTTTGGGGGGGTCAATTTGACCCCCACCCGAGCGCGTGTTAAAGAGAATGTCTCACATTTCAAGATATTGAAGCAAACACCAGATATGAAGTCTTCAATTCGTTTATCACTTTTAATGCCATGTCCACTTACTGAAAAATGCCATGATTTGAGTCTACCCCTTCGGTGATTGTAGGTAGGCAGCTGCCTTTACTAAGAGTAAATCAGCCAGCATCGCTTGATTCAAGTCACCCGGAGAATTTGTTTCCTTGAGTGATCGCGCTATTGGACATTACAGTGAAGTCCGGACAGCTTGCGTTCGGAAGAGTAGACTAAGCTATTAAGTTAGTTAAGAAGACGTAAGTTATTTTATCTTGACTGTATTAGTGTGGTCAGTTTTGGGTTTGGGGCATTAAGTTGCATTGTTTTTTCTCGCCCACCTGTCTACCACACACATACACACACACGCGCGCACGCACGTACGCACGCACGCACGCACGCACGCACGCACGCACGCACGCACGCACGCACGCACGCACGCACGCACGCACGCACACACACACACACACACACACACACACACACACACACACACATATTCAGTTCCTGTGTCTTTCGTTTCCACATCGCAGTCCTTTCATTGCGTCCCAATTGTAGGGAAACGCACTAAGATTTGCAAGGGCGTTTTGACGCTGACTTGAAGCAGATGAAATTGTTTTGAGACCTGTTGGGATTGAAAATAGAATAAACAAGATTGATTTAACAGGAGATTTTGCTCACGTGATTGAGTTTTTCATCACGATTTGGCTCAGTATTTTCATCATGATCCTTATCATAATCCTGATCGGCTTATAATCACGTGCATAGCGCGATGCCGCCCTGCGATATTTGTCACTGAGGCTTGAAAACTCTCAACTACCAAGGTATGTGACGTCGCCTGCCTTTGACCATGGCAGGAAAGTCTAGCACGGCGGCAAGTCGAACCCCGTACCTCTGGCTTCCAAACGGACTTTTTAAACTATCGGCACCCAACTCTGCGGTGTTGGCCACAGTCTGCAACATCTGCTCTCCACGGCAGTTGCATATCACCGGTGCTCGGAATCTAATGACCGACAGTATCCCTTACGACATGGCTTAAGACATTGTATATTCAATTTCGGTTATCACAGCGCCTCTTGGTCCACCGACACGGATCTCATGTCTTTACCAAGCGGAGTTTTCCTATTTGTACACTCGACCCGCCTTTGCGAGCCATAACTCCCTTCACTTTTGTGTTCCCAAAAGACAACCGCACAGAGAACGTTGATCTTGAACGTAGCCGACAACTCGACAAACTCCGATGATAATTTTGTGCTGATCGCTGTTATCTGCCCCACACACGCAAAACATTTGTTTTTCCACATAAGCGATGGTAAACACGATGTTTTGGCTGGTGCAAGTGATCACTCTTTGAGGGCACTGAGCATGGTTCAACACAGCACATGATAAACTCATTGGGAGCGGGCATATGGCCATCCGTTTTGGTTTTGCAGGTCGAAACAATCACCCAGACATTGTATCGTCATTCGCCACCGCATGGAACAGACCATGCTTCACGCCACGAAGATCCAATTTCATCAAGGGCTATGCAATCTAAGGCGCGCAGGTCCGGTCTTTATGTGGGACTGCCGTCACGACGGGAGACCTCAAATCGTTTCCTCATATGCTCCGACATGCAGAGTGGTTCCACCAAATCTGACCTTGCTTACACATGCAAAAGTTCTGATGAGAACATATCCAGGAGATACTTTTGCTGGAGCCCGGCGTGTAAACTCAAAGAAAAACGGCGGGATGTTGGTCCACTTGTACAGTCGGTGTATTAAAGGAAATGCACGAGCCCATTTACATAAAGATTGTCTAAAGCTTAATTGTCGATAGGGTGGCTATCTATCAAGTGCAGCAAAATAAACATCAGAAATGTCAGCGAACCTGCTGATAAATATTGTGTGCAATACGTTATGTCAACATTCAGCGACATACGTGTCCCTGTAAGTCATGATGCGCGACAACGTTGATTTCTCGGACACAGCGCGAAAGATCCGGGGCTGTATCTAGGGCTGTTCGTGAAATGAAAAGGAGATTCCTCCAAGCTAATACATGCATCGCGTAGCGTGCTGTGCATCCGATCATAGTAAGGTCACCTAAGACTGTAAAGTAGCGTCCTGAACGGTGCCATTTGCGGCAACAGACATCATGTGCACGCGATGCATTCACGGCCTATTCACGCGTCACATTTCACATACACAACACAAAAATGCAACTTTTCACCGACCGAAGACATTCGCGAAATTGTCTGGCCCCGGTACATAAATTTCCGGTGTGTGGCCCTGCGTTCGTGGGCGAGGCTGAACCCTTCACTTGATGGCTTGGTAATTCATGCTTAGATGACATTGATGCAAACCGCATTCGAAAGCGAGGACATTTTATTCGGGGTGTCAAACAATTTTTACATAGAGGCAGCCGACGATATCCCATGTTAGGTCAGGTAAAAAAATCACATAAGCAGTTGATCACGTTTCAGCTAATCACTCACTAGAGAATGATGCCGCTCAGTGAGCTTGCTGATCACCGGTACAATCTTCGATAAGATAGCAAACAAAATTTACGAATGAAAATCAACACCGAGCACCAGCTGTCAGTTGACGTATCACAAATCCCTCGACTGTTCGTCACAGCGGTTAGCGGCAAGCTGAACTTAGGGGACTCAACATAAGTGGAATACTGTGGTTTTATCGACACCATCCTGCTTTTCTTTTCAAACAACGCTTTACTTGAATTAAATTGCGCACGGGTGGCCGGTTGGATACGCTGCGTTCGGAGGGGTCAATTTGATCTCCTGAGATCTCAGGAACTAAGGAAGCTAGAAACACCAAATTTACAAGGTGTGTTGGATGTTACGTGAACTCACTTAGGTCAAAGTTTAAGGCTCCTAGGTCATGACCTTCGGGTCAAATAAGGTCAAGCAAAGTCAAACTCCAGGTTGATCTCCGAAGTTCCCCGGAACCTAAATAACAATGACAAAGGTCACAGTGACATAAGGTCACACATAAGGTCACAATGACAAAAATAATACAAGACTGCTTTGAGTTTTGCATTTGAATAAGCGACAACGATTACGCTAGGTAGCGTGTTCCTAGAATTAAAATGTTGACTTGGGTCATTTCATGTCAGTGACCTATTGTGACCTTGAAACAATTCATGGATGTCGGGTAAGGTGGTGCCTGTTATTGATAAATTCGATATGGGGCTAGAAACTGCTCCGTACAGCAAGCTCTGGAGCACTAAAACAGGCTGGTTTTGACCTCGGTGTGACCTTCATACTTGACCCTTGGTCGATGGAATTTAT